TTTTTCCATGAACTTTTTAAAGATCCCTTGCAGATAGACAGCAGAACATCTATCAGTTCAACAATTTCTACTTGTGTATTTCAGTGACATTGATTCTATTTAAGCTGTGTTACCATGGTTGCCTTTCTTTTCCAACTTGGTCCCCTCCCACTGATAGAAGCTCATCGCTCCCTAAGTTTCCTGTCTTTTGAGTTGTTGTTGTCAATTTGATTCCATGTTGTTGTGTTGTTATGTGCCGTGGACTCAGTTCCGACTCATAGCAACCCTGTACAGGGTTTCCGAGGCCGTAAATCTTTATGGGAGCAGAAAGCCTCATCTTTCTCCCGCGGAACAGCTGGTAGTTTCGAACTGCTGACCTTGAGGTTCGCAGCCCAATTCGTAACCACCACGCTACCAGAGAAAAAAGCACAATGCTCAAGGCAGGCATTCTTTTCTGTTGTTCCTGCTGGTTTTCTTAAACAGGATTTATACACAGCTTGTGTTCAACAACGCCATCCCAAACATGTCTCTTCCACAAAACCTAGCTCAAAAGGTACAAAAGCACACTGTCAGAATAGAATACTAAGGTACCCCGTACTTTCAGGCATCTCCACAATCCAGGTGTGCCAACAGGTGTGCTGCAAAAGTGACCCTCCTGCAACCAACAAACTAATAATTGAACTAGAAGCTTCAGAAAAGCTTGTACTTTCAGTACTTCTAGCCCTCCTGATTTGTGAATAATGAACTCTTTCTGACCAACAGTTTGCATAAACATAAAAAATATATATATATAACCCCAAACTCACAGATGTTCAAGCTTGTCCAATTTTTTCTCTGATGGGAAGAGATTGAGACTCAGCAGTTGCAAGCTTCAGTCACATGTTTATGTAAGTTGGTTAAGCCAAAGTTGCAAATTAGAACTGTAGTTTTGGTCCTGGTGGAAATTGCTAAAACAATTGCACCCCATTATAATGGGCATTGGCTTCAAAATCTCTTGTGGAAGTCAGAATACAAGAAAGCAGAGTGTCCCTGGTTCTGTGCCCTGAGAGAGGTGTCCAACTGAAATGCTGCCAGTGCTACACTCATGCACACCTTTCTGTGTCCTCACCAGTCTGAGGCATAGGCGACCTTACTTGAATTCTATGGAGGGACTGAAATCCCACTTCCAAGCCTCCAAAGGATGTGACAAATCAAGGGAAATTTGGGTTGTTTTCCTGATTAAAGTTTTCTTAAGTTTCTTCCTTTCCCTGGGGAAAGGGAAGAGGAACTATCCTCCGAAGTCCCAGTGACTTCTTGTTAAGTATATATATAAATACACACATGTTGAAAGCACATTCTTAATAAAATTATTAATAACTCAGGATGGGAGGAGTCACCTCATGTGGAATCACAGGGTGTTGATACTGTGTTCCCTATTTTGTGGCTACATGCTGTTATGCAGAGTGGGCTCTGACTTCCTGGGGATGTTTCTGTGCGCTCCACAGGTACGAGCTGCTCAATCATGACTGAGCTGAAATACTCCTCAGCTGCAAACATGACTCCACTGAAGGCTAGGATTTCTGCAAGATAAAAATATACTCTACACACACACACACACACACACACAACACACACACACACACACACACACATATGTGGGAGTCCTGGCGTGGTGCTGTGGGTTAACGCGCTCGACTACAATGTCAGCTTGAGCCACGAGGTTGCAATTCAAGCTCACCAGATGCTCCTTGGAAACCCTATTCAGGGTCGCAGTGGGTTGGAGCCGACTTGATGGCATTCAACAAGACACACATGTGAATTGATACAGGCCCCAGAATTGATACAAAAGTCTCAGTATGGCGCTGTGGGGTAATGCAAGGGACTGCAAGGTCGGTTTGAACTGCAAGATCGGCAGTTCAAACTCACCAGCTGCTCCTTGGAAACCCTCTACAGGGTCACTATGGGTCGGAACTGACTTGATGGCACTTAAGAGCAACAACAGTATACAAGAGTACCACCATGTAACCCCAGAAGTTGGAGCGGAGTTTTCCTGCTTAGTGAGGAATTTGGAAGACCCAGCACCCAGTAAAGAAACAGACCACTTGCAGGCCAAGCTACAGCCTTGCTGAAGGGACCTGAGGGTGCAGATGTCTGCTGAAGATGTTCTCCACAACAAGACTTGGGTCAGCGTCACCTTGGGCAGAGGGCATGCAAACACCGGGGTGGTGGGCCCAGGAGGCGGCCATGGTGGGTAAGAAGGCATATGCCTGGGCTCCTGTGGGCAACACTAGACCAAGCAAACCCCATTCTCTCACACTGCATGTCCTGAGTGACAGCTCACCGTACAATGTTTAATGGTCAATTTGGAGTCCTGGTGTGGCACTGTGGGTTAATGCGCTAGACTGCAAAGTAGGTTTGGACTGCAAGGTTGGTGGTTCAAGTAGCTCCTTGGAAACCCTCTAGAGGGTCACTATGGGTTGGAACTGACTTGATGACACTTAACAAGTCCCCATAATGAAAGAGATGACTTAGCCAAGATACAAGCTTAGACTCTTATGTTGACCTGCACAAGAACTAAGGCTCCGGCATGAACTCATGAGTCTCGATGGCTGCTGGGAGTCAGCCCTGGGGACACTGACAGGCTGACGGTTTGTGCGGGGAGGCTGGGGTTCGCTATGGTGTCACCTGGAAATGCAGCGCTTGGGGCCCTAGATCCAGGCCTTTCCCTTTAGCTTCTGTCTCCACTGTCAAGGCCTGTTAAAGTGTCCAGGTGCACGGTGAAGCTGACCGTAATGGAAGTGTGACCCCCAAAGAGGGGCAGGCCAGTGGGCTCTGATCCCATACTCATCAGTCACCGTGAACTCTTGCTCTTTCTGCCCGCCCTCTCGAACCCTCTGCTCCCTCTACCTCCTCCAATGCCATGGTTATGATCATGACTGGGGTTACCTCCCCTCACCTGGACCGTCTAATGGTCCCATGGGGGCCTCTGCCTGTGCCAGGTCGTGCCACCAGCCCCATCAGAGGCTCCCGCGGCCATGGACTGCAACACGGAGGTGCTGCAAGTTACGTTCTAGAGACCCATGGGACATGAACTTCTCTGTACCTGGTTTGGACAAGCACTGGACTATGAACCACAAGGTCGGCAGTTCAAACTCACCAGTCACTTCTCGGAAACTCTATACAGGGTCACTGTGAGTCAGAATGGACTCTCTGGCATTTACCAACAGTAGCAATATCTGGTTAATTAAAAGGTTCCGTGTAATAAAAGTCAGTCAGCTCACACGCATCATGATTGTAGCAGGCACTGGGGGCATGAGTGATGTCCTCCTGCCTCTCCTGACCCTGGCTGTCACAGGCCCCATTAGTCCCTCCACCAGGATTCTGCCGGATGCCACACTCAGCTAATTCTATCACTTAGACTCTGGTCTCAAATTGTTGTTAAGTACCGTGGAGTCAGTTCCAACTCATAACGACCCTGTACAGGGTTTGAGGCTGCAAATCTTTATGGGAGCAGAAAGCCTCATCTTTCTCCTGTGGAACAGCTGGTAGTTTCGAACGGCCAACTTTGAGGTTAGCAGCCTGATTCGTAACCACAATGCTATCACTTTTCCCAAGAAGTTGGCCCTCAACTGCCCCTCCCAAACTAGGTAAGTATAGCAGGGGGCACCTGGCTCTGTGACTTCAGCTTTCAGGAGCTGCCGAAGCCTCCTGGTCTTTCTGAGTACCAAGGACATGCCTGAGTCCTGGCTGGGCTCCCAGCACCAACTGTGATGGCGTGGGCGAGGATGGAAGAAGGCAGGCAGAGGGGCCACTGCCCGCCATCTCCAGTGTGGCCACTGAGTCTGGTGACCAACAGCCAGGGTCCTCTGGTACCTTACACATACCCACAGCCAAGACTGTCTCCGGAGAAACACTCTGAGGAGCTTCCAAGGGAAACGTCAGGAGTGACTGTCCCCCAGAGGCCCAAACAACTCCCAGAAAAAACTGGGCAGAAGCCGCCAAAGAACCTGGCTCCAGGATTGGAGTTGACACTTGCCAGGAGTCTTGGGTCACCCTTGGTGTAGTCCAGAGTGGGGGACACTCGGCTGAGTCCCCAGGCTCTCTTCTGCGGCTGCCTGTCATTCCGCATAGTCCATGGAATTGGGATAAAAATGCCCAGGTTCAGGTCAAGCAACACAAACACGTTTGGTTTTAGGTGTGTTTTCTGGCTTCTCTGCACATGAAATGATTGGAATAGTACCTTCTCTGCGAATCTGTGAGGCTTAGGCTTACAAGTGAACACGGTGGCTCCATTGGATAAGGTCACAAGGTCCATGGTTTGAGCCCACCAGCCACTTTGCAGGCTTTCTGCTTGCTCCACGAAGACCTAAAGCCTTGGAAACCCTCTACCTGGAGTGCCAGGGTTGCAGACCGGTGCTCGGTGCAGAAGCCCACTGCCCACTCTATGTAGGCTAGCGCCCTGACCTCTCTCAGTTACATTGATGAGAAATCAATTTGCTTTCCCTAGCACCAGCAGCCAGTCTCAGGGAGGGCAAGAAGAACCACTGTGGAAAGGCGGCCCTTCCTCACCGGCAGAGGGGAGTCCCCATGTCAGGAAGAATGTAGTACACACAAAATCAAGTTTGGCCAAGGTGCTCTTTATTAAGAGAAATATGTAGCTTTTGGTAAATTCCACTGCAGAGGACACAAACCAGGGGTCACCGCCACCCCCCACCCCAGAGCTGGAACAGCGGCTCCTACTCTGTGTGGCTGCCTGCTTGTGACAGACCACCACCAGGACTAAAGGTCACCCAACAGACAGGCATCAGAAGGAGGCTAAAGAGACAGCCCAGGCAGCGGGGAGAAAGGACAGATGAAACCACTTTCTCTTGTTCAGAGTTAGTTCCCACATCTGACATTACGACTGCACACATGTTCAATTTAAAATGGAAAAGAAGCAAGTCTACAAATCACTACTGAGTACTTAAAAATAAACTCTAGGTGTTTTAGCAGCCCAGGCCCAAACACTGTGGCTTTCCAATATTTCAGCAGCTTCAGATACATTACACTCTTCGGAGGAAGTCCAAATATTTCAGAATCCCAGGAGTGGCTGTGGAGAAAGAATATCACTGGCAACAAAACATTTCAAGACCTGCAGCAGGCAAGCACCGTGGTGCTCATAAACGTATACACGGTTAAACATTCGCGCTACGTAACAAAACAACTCTACATCCTTTTAATACGAGCATGTTTACATTTCTTTGTTTGGTTTCAGGGAAACACGAGCTGTGGGGGTGAGTCTGGTTTGGTCATGGGGCAACTTCACTCTCTCCCCAAAGAGCTCACCTCTCAATACACCCTCTACCTTACCCAGCCACACTTCTTGATGTGGTTCTTTGGATGCTACAGTCAGAGAGACTTGGCTGCAACACCATTGCAGGGTGAAACCTGGTGCACCTTTTCAGGTGTGTGGCTGTATGTGCTTTAGGACTAGGAGCTGGCAAGAAGGAAGGGCCGCAGATCCTGTACAGCACCCAAGGACTGCCCACACAGTGGCCACACAGCATTCCTTTGGCCGGGCCTGAAGGTACAGCTCACCCACCTGGCAGCATCCTTATTGGAGCCCTAGTCAGAAACATCAGAGCGCTCAATGGAATTGAGGCTTTTCCACAGTCGCTTCAAAGTCTTAGCGGCTGAACATTTGAGACAAAGGTGACTGGGGTAACAAAAAAACACTTTTACAAAGAATTGAATGAGGTAGCTGAGGTCAAACACCAAATCCAAAGCATACACAAAGGTGTTGAAGAAATGCCCAGGCGCTTTTCCATGTAAATGGCTACAGGGTCTGATGCGTGCGCTCAGACCTCAAGGAAGGCCGGCTGCAGAGTGGGGGCAGCTGAGGGGCACCATGTGCCAGGTCCACTCGAGGGCAAAGGCCCTGGTTCCAGCAGGGTGCAGGTGCCATCCCCTGAGGGCAAATGACAACAGAATTCGGGGGCCCGGCTAAGGCTGTGGGGAGGGCAGTTCAGTACCCGCTCCCTTCTGGTCCCCTTCACTCTAAGCCCCTGCTCCCAGGCCCAGCAGCTGCTTTCTACACAGCTCTTTCAGATGTGGTGCTCACACACTTCTGGGGTGGGATAAAGCGAAAGATGGTGCTACATTTTGTGACTTTGATGGCAGTATTGATCTTAGGGCCCACACACACATGAGGCGCAAATTTCCACACACTATGTACTCACATCTGCATATCCTGAACTCACAAAACACAACCCACACATCACACATTTCATGGGGTGAACACCCAGGCACACTCATTCATGCACACTCACAGGCCGGGCATGTACACACCCTTGTTGGTACACGGAGAAGAGCAGGGTCCTCCAGAGCAGCAAGCAGAGGCGCGGACAGGCCAAGGCAGGAGGAAGGTGGGCACCAGTAAAAAGAATCTGGAGAGCTTCACCGCTGCCACCACCCAACAACCCTGGTTCCAGGCCAGTCCCCGCTGCCCAATCCCAGGCCACGGAGACATCCAGCCCAGCACTGCGCACACACTGAGGTGCACTGAAGACAAGCAGGGTGAGAGAGTGCGGGGCAGATCCGTCTGCACTAGGTCTCCGAAGTATAGTCACTGCAGGCCAGAGGAGCCGGGGCTGAGAAACTGCTCCACCGCCTCACGCCTGGCTGGGCCTCCATGTGCCCTTGTTCTTTATATTTACCCAGAATGGTTTTGGCTTCTTCAGCATCCTGCAAAGGGCTCTCTCCGTATTCTTCCTTCAGCCACTGTCGGTACTGGAAAGGTTGGAGACAAAGGGAAATGTTATGTGTGATGCCAGCATTCATGGAGACGCTTTCTGTTACCTAATGGTACAAGTTCTGCTCGGTGTGCACAGAGAAATAAAGGTGCTGCAGGCCACCATAGCTCTGCTGGGGCCTGTTGCTCCTGAACAAGGCTAAGAAATATATGCTTCCCCAAGGTTCCGGTCTGGAGATGACAGTTAAGTCAAACCAAGAAAGATGGCACCTTGCCAAAATGGAGACATCAAAGCTAATTCAAGGTATCCAGAGCAGACACCCTACAGTGAAAGGGCCACAGGGCAAAAGCCTGTCAGCCTGCCTGCACGCAAGAAGACAGGCATGTCCCAGGGCTTCTGCCTGTACCGCACAAGTCCCCTAAGAGTGGATTACCTGGTGGACTTCATTCTTCTCAAACTCCTGGAGCTGTCTCTGGAAGCCGAGGTTGGGGTTGGCACAGGACCGACCTGCGCGTACAGTGTGCAGTGCGTCTTCCCAGCCAAAGTCAGTCACGGTCATGACGTACGCAGTGACCAGTGTCACACTCCTGGAGACGCCAGCCAGGCTGCAGGCCGAGAGGTCAGCACATGAGAGGGACTCCCGAGGGCAAGGGCAGGGGTGTAGCCCTGCCCCCATCCACAGGGAGCAGAGAGCACCAAGGCTCCCTAATTTAGAGGCATCCTGCCTTGGATTGTGTGTGAACAGTAACAACGAGACCTAGAAATCACTCAGAAAAAGAACACAGCTTCCCTTTATGAGGGACTTCCAAGAGTTCACGGAAAATGCATATTATGGAAAAAAAAAAAAAAAAAAGATGCATGGATCTCAAAACTTTTTACATAAACTCATACTAATTTGTTTCGATGTATCTGAACAGGGACACTAAAAAAGTTAAGACATCAGTTTGAAAAAAGCCCCTGTTAGAGCAATATGCATTCTCCTAAAATTGTAGCTAGAGCCAACAACGAATTTCTGGTGAAGCTTGAGTAGAAGAAAGGTGAAATTGTTGACGATTTACAAAAAGTGCAAAGGGATAACGCCTCAAAGAAATCAGCAGCTGACAAGTGGATAACTTAGTTTAAGACGGGATGAGACCCTGTGGAGAATGAAGCCTACAGCAGCAGACGATTCACATTCGATTTGAGAGGAAAGAATTCATCTTGTTCGTCCCTAATAGAAGAGGTCTGACAATACCAGCAGACACAGCCTACACCAGAGACACCTCAATGGGTTTGGCTTAGACAATTCCAACCGAAGAATTCATGTTGAACACACTTTCTGCACAATGGGTGCCAAATGTGTTGTCCCCAGATCAGCTACAGAAAAGAGCAGAGTTACTGAAGGAAGTTTTAAGCAGACCCTGAAGTATTTCTCAGAAGAACTGCAGCAGGAGACGAAACATGGTTTGACCACTACGATCTGAAAACAAAGTGCAATCAAAGTCATGGGGTACACCAAGAGGTGAAAGTGGCCTCGTCAGAGCAAAAGTGGAATGGTCATGAAAGGAGATCATGGAGATGGTTTGTTTGGAATGCTTCAAAGGTATTTTGCCTGTTGACTTTCTAGAAGTCCAGAGAACAACATTTGCTTATACTGAGAGCGTTTTGAAGAAGTTAGCCAAAGCTTCAAGCGTCTTTTTCTACACCCATGCTCATTCCTTTCATCAAACAAGCACCATTTCGCAAGAGTCTTGATGGAAAATCCTAAACTGTTCACCTTACGGTCCTGATTTGGCTCCTTCTGATTTCTTTTTGGTCCTTAATTTTAAAACAATCTTTATGGAGCACCTGTTTTCATCAGCTGATGTTAAAAAAAAAGGACGCAACGACATGGTTAAATTCCCAGGACCACTCAGTTCCTTCAGGATGGACTTACTGGTTGATATAGTCACTTACAAAGTATCTTGACCTTGACGGAGCTTATGTGGAGAAGTAAATTTTGTATTTTAAAAAATCTTTTAATTCCATTATCCCACAAACATTTGAGGCCCTCCCCTATTTATTATGCCGACACTGCAGACATTCTAACTGTTCTAGCTTCATCTGCTGTTGGTCTTCTAGTGACTGGGCTCTGCACACTGCAGTTTCTAATTCTGTATCACTACTCAGACACCTTGGACTCCCTCGGACAGATAAAACACAGAAGACACCAAGTTGATCCAAGACCTCCAGGGTCTCTGTGATAAATTCATTGATAAACCTCTATTAGTTGTGAACGATTCAGAGTTTTTAAGGAGTCTGGTTTTCCTAGATATATGAGGGTTAGATGTATAACCCACTAGATGGGAAACTCTTAACAATCTTATTTCCATAAACCAGGCCGAGTGCAAAAGCCGGTAGCCAGGCTCTCCGGCAGGCGGCCAAGGGGACACTTTTGGGTAATAACGGTTCATGATCTCCAGCAGGCTGAGTAAGGGACATTTAAATACATACGCAAATTAAAGGCAGTTAAGGAGAGGTGGTACTTCGTCAAACTTCAAGTATTCTGAGCAAGGGTTTAAGACCGGGAAGTTTAGCAAATTTCTCCCTCTTTGAAAAGCTTGTCTTGAGATGTACACACTCTATGAATGAAGATCCCTGGACCTAGTCATATTCAAATATAAATAATAAAAACCCCACAGCTCTGAAGGTCTCGGTCTTCCTGGGCCCAGAGGCCAAACACGCCACCCCAACAGGGACGAGCAGAGCTGAGGAGCCGGATTTCAGAACACCCCTTTAAGCAACTCCAACTGCACCCCCTCTTGAAGAGCTTCAGAGGCAGTGTAAACGAAAGTTACAAAAGCTGCAATTTGTATTTATGACTCTTCCTGCTCACTTTAAAAGTGAAATGAACTATCACACTGTTTAAGAACTGCATAAAACTGCAGAATACCATTCGTAGAGCAACCAAACCGTTAGGTCCTCTCCACCCTGCTATGAGCTACCTGTCCCTAGAGCAAACTCTGCTTCTCAGGGAGTTCTGTCTTGAGGTCATATGACTGACTCCCCTCCCTTCCAGGTGGGGCTGCCCCAGCCTTGACAGAACCTCACAGGAGAGACCACATTTCCCTAGGGTCCACACTTGAGCAGAACTTCTCTTTCAGAAACAAAAGATTGTTAGTTACACTTCAGTTTATTAACAGTATATAAACTTCAGCCAGGGTAGAGAGGTGGTATGTTAAACCTGCATCCCAAACACAGCCCTGACCCCACAGTGTTGGCTCCCTGTGCCTCAGATAAGTCAGTTATTAGCATGACTATTTGCAGCAATGAATGCCAAGAATCCACGTTTATTGAAATCCTACTACGTGCTAGTATGGCTCAGCATGCATCATCCTCAGGGCATGCTGTACAGCTAATTTTTCACAGTGTGTGCTGGCGTGAGCATTCATATGTGTGTGTGTGCACACAGACAGGCATGTGCTTGTGCAAAGGGCATCGGAATGCAGGGGGTAGCTGTTGATAAGCAACTTAATTCTAAGAGTTTATTCTGATGCTTTCAAAAGTACCAATCTGTCAGTGGAAAAGCAGCTGTCAATCTGGTGTTGAAGTAGTGCTGATGCCCAAACATGCAACCAAGACTCTCCAAGAAGAAACAGTTTTGAAAGTCTCTGGGGTGAGCCTCAGCCCTTGCACGAGCTGTCTGATGGAACCTGAGGGCCAGTAAAGGACAGTGTCCATCAAGTTCTAAAGCCCCTAAGGATATTCTCACAAGGGGTGAAAATGAAAAAGAAATGAGAGTTCTCTTTAGACAAAAGGAAAGGATGACCTGCAAACAGCAGGGGTCAGGGTGGAGTATGTGCTTGGGATTTGCAAGGTAGCAACAATGATTGTTATTGTTGTTAAGTGCCTTGGTGGAGTTGATTCCAACCCATAGCGCCCCTGTATAGGGTTACCAAGGAGCAGCTGGTGAGCTTGAACCACCGACCTTGCAGTTCAAACGACTTCACAGTCTGATGCATTAGCCCACAGTGCCACACGAAAAAACACCCAAAAAAGTCCTTGATGTGACCCAGATGGACCAGAACATGGGGTTACTCTGCAGCAGGGACATACGTACCAGTGCACAAGACAGCTCTCCCCTTTCAGCCGGCACTCGTGGATGAACTTTATACTTTCTTTGAAATGTCTCGTCCTGGGAAGAGAAAAGAAAGGCATCAGGTCTCACCCCCTTACTCACCATTGAAGGGAAGAGAAGCCTGCTCAGGCTTCCAGAGCAGGCCACAGAGCCTCCACGCCCCCACACACCCCACTGCCGGTGCACTGCCGAGGCCCGGGCACCTGAGCACACACTACACTCAGGTCCTGGACTGGCAGCTCAACCTGGAATTTTCACAATGTCTCTACAAGGACTCCCTGGTCCTGCTCACTCGCTGGGTGCATTCCGAGTGCCGACTGCTCAGCAGCCCTGGGGTTCCTGACAACACTTAGACATGCTGCAGCCACGCCGGACCAGGGAGAGCGATGTCCACACTTCTCTGCTCCTGTACGCCTTGACCACTCAGGAACCCAAAACTACTTCCCAATGTTGCTCAGCTTCAACTCTGAAGGGTCCATTTTCCTTCAGGTCATCAGAGTGCAGTGGGGGTGGGGATGATGGCTCGAATCTTTAGTTATCAAGACCAGATATGTAATATGCTTTGTGAACTCAAAGGTCCTATGTAACTATGGGTACTGAAGTCCTCACTTCTATGTGTTTGCTTTAGGGCCCCACTCCTTTCTCTGACTATTCACTCAGGTAAAATCCCCAGTTAAGGAGAACCTTCAATGCACAGGTATTGAGAGCTATAGCCTCAAGATACAAAGGAGACTAGGACTTGCGCTTTGCCTTGATTGAAGCTGCAAACCACGACCAGTGAACCACTGCTGTTCTGGATACACTTGAAAGTATGCTGCGGGTGAAGTACAGACACACTACGTGCTTGTAGATGCCTTCCATCTTGGAATGGCTTAGTGAGCACCAGTGCACCAAAAAGTTACTCATTAACTAAATTCACTTCCCTTTAAACACTGATTTGAGTACTGACAATTTGCCAGGAATGCTGATAAGCCGTGGGAATGTGGTGGCTCTGTAGGTTAAGCACTGGACTACGGACCACAAGGTTGGCGGTTCTAGCCCACCAGATGTTCTGCAGGAGAAAGATGAGGCTTTCTGCTCCCACAAAGATTTGCAGCCTCAGGCACCTAAGACAGGGTAGCTATGAGTTGGAATTGACTGGACGGCACTTGGCAATAACCATAACTGATGTGCTGTAAGAGATTCTGAGATCTCTGATTGCCAAAAACTCATGAGGGGTGATAGGGCAAGTCAATGTAAGAGGCACGGGACACGCCGGTGTGTTACAACGCACTCACTCAATACAGGTATTGACAGCACAGCACACCCGATACTCGATAGCCAGGCCAGGCACACACGCACACAGACACACTCACAGGTACACACTTACCCACACACTCTATCAATAAGTGCCAGGCATGTGTCTCCGCAGGGGCACGCCAAACTCTTACCTGAAACCTGTCACTACTAGAACACTGCAAAATATGCTTCAGAGACCTTTGCCAGTGACAAATGCTCCCCGATGCTAGAGAGTTACAACTCTACCCGCAAGGACTGATTTAGTACAGAACAGACAAGAGGAGAGTTCCTGATGGAATCCTGATATCTGAAGTATGAGTCCTGAAAGGGCTCTTCCAGGGGCTGAGAAGCGGAGCCCACAGGCAAGGTGGGTGAGCAGATGACATGGGCTGGGGGCACTGGGGCAGAGGGGAGGCAGGCCTTGGGTCTCTCTAGCAAAACCAGTAATCTGGTCTAGTCTTGAAGTGCTGGTGCTAAAGGTGACATTGAGCGAGGCGCTGGGTTCTCCCAATCGTTGGCTGTGGCAACCACAGCTCCTGTTCTATGGGTCTCTCAGGTTGAGATGAGCTGAGTGTGACCAAAGAGGGGAGAGCATGATGAAAGGCAGGAAGTCCCCCTGGTGCCTGGGAGCACACAGTAGGGACTGTGAGACTGAGGGGGGTCACAGGTCCTCCCACCAAGGTAGACAGCTGCATTTTGGGGACACACACTTGTAAAGGAGCTACTAAATCACTCTACTGAGACCTGAGAGTGGGAACATCTGCTATTCGGCACTTACACGGCTCTCACCCAACTGCAGCCAGGATGAAATCAGTTCTGCAAATATTGTGGGCTCGAGAATCTGCCTCTCTAAATAAGAGGCAACACGCCTCCTCAGGTGTCAAAAAGAGCTGATTCACAGTCAAAGGCAGCTCAGTGACCAGTAAGGGGCCACAGGTCTCTGGGAGGAAGAAGACCCCTCCCCAGCTGGGCCCTGAGCCCTTGTGACTCCATTTGTCAAGAGATAAATGCAGGGCAAACCCACACAGTGGCCTCCACTTCGAGGAGGGAAAAGGGGCTGGGGGCCCAGGCATGACACCGGGGCCCAGGCTCCACTGCAGCTCAGGCCAAGGACACAGGCCGGCCTTGAGGGCACTGCCTAGAGACCACCCCAAACCTGACTCATGAACACCAGAGATCAAGCCAAGTAGCCGTCCCTAGAAATGCCTCTTCCAAGAAAAGCCAGGAGGCGGTAAGATGACCACTGATTTAGAATCCAGCTACGCTGTGAGGGGGGTTATTTCCAGGGAAGCTAATGACATAAGTCCAAGTCCTGCTCACTGAACCCCCTCCTTCAGAATGGGAAGTACCGGGACCCAGTCCTCAGATTGCTCAATTCCCATTTGAAGCAGAAACTCACATTTAAAGCTCCCTCCCTACCACAAGCAGTTTCAATGAATGCAAGTTCCCTCTTTCTACTCTTTGGTTTATTGGCACTTAGCCTTTACTTGGATTAAACAAACAAACAAACCCATGTAGAGTGAATCCCATTCAAGTGGTGGGAGGCAGGCTTATCGAAATGGAAGCACTATTTAAACCAATGGGTGTTACTAGGTCACAAGAGCCTGGGGCTATGTGCACCTTACAAGCTGACTGCAAACCCCCGCAGCCAACTCTGCTGGGAGGCAGAAAGTCAGCAGCTCTTTCGCTCTGTGAAGACACTGGTCCCCTCACTCACTACTCCTCTTGCCCCCAAGCCTCTCCATCCAACATCCAGGAACAGCAAGCACCAAGCCTGTGTGTCCCGGAGGCTGCCAGAGAGCGAGCAGGGCAGCTGTCCGGTAAACCGCCCTGCACCTCTCCTGGAACACAGCAGTGCCGGGGCTGGCTCATGCTGGGGTGCACTCTTGATTCTGTGGAGCCAAGACTCCACAGCCTGTAGGTTGTGACCCCAATTGTAGGATCTGACAGTCTTGTCCTACTGACAAGTGTTCTGTTTGCTGTATTGGGAGGCCGGGGATGTAGTCGAGCTGCAGTGAGTTTGGAACCGAGTGGCAAAGAATTTGACCTCAAAGGCCAGGTTGTATTTGAGTGCAAAAGCCACAAGAGCATGTGCATAGAGAGGTATGCACAGAAATGGATGGAAGTGTATAAACAATATATATAAAATATATACATTTGTCAAGTGCCATCGAGCTGGTTCCGACTCACAGCAACCCTGTATAGGGTTTCCAAGGAGCAGCTAGTGAGTCTGAACCACCAGTCTTGAGGTTTGCAGTCCAGTACTGATCATATATATAGAGAGAGAGACTTCAAAAAGTCCATGGAAAAACTGAATGAAAACAGGCTGGAATTTCTCCACGAGCTCTTTGAAGATCATATATATATATATATATGTGTGTGTGTGTGTGTGTGTATCTATGTGTGTGCATGTATGCATATATGTATGTGTGTGTCTCTGTTTATGTATGCATGTATATATATGTGTGTGCCTGTGTGTGTATGTATGCATGTATATATGGTATATGTATGTGTGTGTCTCTATGTGTGTGTATGTATGCATGTATATCTGGTATATTCATGTGTATGTCAATATAGATGAGGAAAAACAGGAAAGACAAATATCCTTGGATTTTGTTTCCCTCAGAAAGGCATGATTTTCCAACAAGCAGATGGGTAAAGTGTTCTATCTTGGCCCAGGCCTGGGAAGATGAAACTGCTTCTGTCTGCACCAGAATCAGTCCAAGTCCCCCAGGCCTCTCTGCTTCTGAAGACACCTCCTCACCTGCACACCCCCCACTCCACCTCCAGGAGTACCCAGCACCAAACATAAGCACTCAGACTTCTATCAGGGGTACCCCGCTTTTGCACAGGATGTATGGCCAACATGTAGAAATACCCTACTTTTTATTTTGCCAGATAAGGTCATTTAAGAAATAAACTGAATAAAGTCTTTCTCCCATCATTTCACAAAACAATAATTTAGCAGCAAAAGGTAAGTTCTTTCATTTGAATTTAAGTGACGTGTAGTGAAAAACTCCACACACATCTTCCTTCCTTCTCCCTTCTCGCTGTGAGCCAGGAACAGAGCTGACTTCCTGGAAGCCAGCCTAGTGGTGCGTAGCTGGGGACCATGGGGACATGTGTGTGTGCTTGCTGGAGGCAGGACACAGGAGCCCAAACTCTGAGTTGGTAAAACTGTACTTTAACAACGAAAGTAAAGAACAATGGAAGAGAGAAAAAAGAGTTGAAGGGATAGAAGGTATCTGCTAAACGACAGAAATAACAGACAAAAAGGGAGGGAAGTGGGATAAGACAAGGGAGCTTTACTGATGTTTTTAATACAAAGCGAATGCCTCTTTTCCCACAAAAACCTCAAGAAATTCAGACTTGCTCAGTTCTCAAACCACTGAATGTCACAGGCCCTGCTGTAGTGAAGCAATATGACAGACACATGGTCTGGTATAGACAAATTCCCTCAGACTCGACAGAAAAAAAGGCTATGATTCCCTTAAAGATGTCTAACTACAAAATACCAATTTAATATCGATTCCAGCAAGAATGAGTAAATTTCAGCTATTCTCTCTTAAGATACATTAATATGCCTTACTTGAGTGGACTGAAATATAACCTTATTTTTGGAAATACACCGTGTTCATAAAACAAAACAAAACAAAACAAAAACCACTTTCCCATACACTATCTCACTATGAAAATCCTGTCAGGGAGGCATTTTACATTTGAGATTAAAATTACTTGTCTAAGAAAGCCTTTAAAGAAAACTAGCTTATGATTGCTTG